AGAGAGAGAGAGAGAGAGAGAGAGAGAGAGAGAGAGAGAGAGAGAGAAGGAAATCTCACAGGTAAAAGATGCTCAGAGTCATGCTCTTCCATATGCAAATGCATTTTGGGAAAGTTAGATATTTCTATTTACATAAAAGCTGTAGAAAAGACAACTTGTGGAACACTCTAGTTTCTTTCTCAACTCATTAAATGAAATGCCATGTTTGTATCCCAATGGTGGGCAAGGCAAGATAAGACTCCAGAAATTTTAGTTTTAGCACTTTCTTATTGCAGAGAGTATTTGGAACTTATAAGCAAAGGTTGGGTTCTTGGGACATGCATGTATGCTGAATCAGGCAATGTATGTCAAATGCCTAAATGCAATGGTCTGTAGAGTAGGGGAGGAGCTGGCGAGAGAGCAACTCTCATGAAAAAGGACTAAAATAATTGAATGTCATGTATCATGGCAGGAAGCCAAGTGGCCTTCTGTTTGTGTATGCTCCGCTGCTGAGTTCCTTCGCTGGCTCCTGCTTCAGCCTTCCCACAGTTCTGCAGAAATACTAGATACAGAAATACATATATTGCATTGAAGCAACGTGGTAGTTTTCACACACACACACACACACACACACACACAGGGGGGGGGGAGAGAGAGAGGGAGGGAAGAGAGAGAGAGAGAGAGAGAGAGAGAAACATACATACAGAGAGAGATTTAAAATATGAGTCTCGAGTTATAACAGCCCCTGGAAAATTGGCCTAGAGACATACAGAAAAGTGTGGATATCATGCTATTCGTGAACTGAGTCATGTACAACAATAATTTCAGTAAAAAAAAAGAAATGAATCTTGAAGACTTTCAACTGTGCCGCCGTTACAAAGCCCTCTGACACTAGTGACTCTGCCCATTTTGACTTCCGTGCTAATATCTGGTTCATGAGGTTTCAGAGAGCTGTATTTGTTTCTGAGTTTCAGCTGGTTTCAGTAATAGCTTTGCACATAGTTGACTTTTCTTCAAAAGAGAAGAGATGGATTGGATTCAGTTCTCTGGTTCTACAGGATCCAAGTTAATTGTAAAAAATCTCAGGTGATGATTTATCCTTAATGCAAATAATTTGACTTTTTAGCTGCTGGTTATATTAGACGCATTGTTCATATTCACTAAAAAGTGTGATTTATTA